GACTGGAGAGACCCAGAGCTGCTGGGGCTGGAGCTGCTCCTCCTTGGAGCAGCAGGAAAGGGGGACCAGGGTGAAAGCAGTGTTTTGGGAATATCGAGGCCTTTCGCAAGACCAGATCCACTCAATGACTATTTTTGGCCATAGAAAGATTGGGTCCAAAAAACGTTTTAAGGCCTGACGCTTTTGTTGGGGGTGTTGCTTTGGGTGTTTTGGAATAAAACCCCACGAACCTTTCCCATCGAAACACATCCGCTGACACGTGAGCTTAAAGCTATATGGAAGTGGTTCTAAGGGGTTAAACGACCACAGCTTTTGCGTTCCCTGTAGAAAAATTGAAAGCCATTCTGCTCAGTTTGGCCCAAAATTGGTCTGGGGAGTGTGCACGCATCCACGTCTGTGCGAGACACCCCGCTCAGGGCTTATAAACCCCCCAAATGATGAGCTCCCATGAGCCGGGCCCCTGCGGCCCCCTGGCTCCCGCGGCTCTTGGCGGGTGGGTTATCGCTGCACTGGGTTCGCCAGGGCAAAGCTCCCCTAACCCGGCCGCTTTCGCCTCCCCCGGGCAGCGGTGAAATTCGGCCGCATGTCCAAGAAGCAGCGGGACAGCCTCTACGCTGAAGTGCAGAAGCACCAACAGAGCCAGGAGCAAAGCGGCGTGCCCAAGGATGAGCCGGAGCCCCTGAGCCGCGTCTACACCACCAGCGTGAGCAGCGGCCTCTCCGACCTGGACGACATCTCCACCCTGTCGGATGGGCTCCTCTTCGACTTCCCCCTCACCCCGGACGGTGGTAGCACCTACTACAACCTCGACCTACTGGCCTCGGCGCAGCCTTCGCCCGACCCGTCCAGCCTGGACGTGGCTGAGGCCACGCTCATCAAGCAGGAGTCCATCTACGAGCTGATGCTGGAGCCGGCCCTCTTCGCGCACGGTGCGCTGGAGAGCAGCCAGCTGGCTGCTGAAATCTCCAGCCTCGAGATCGGTGAGTGCCCGGACAGGCTATGTACAGCACCGTGCATGCCGCTAAGCGTGCTCGAACGTGGCACATGCGGTGCCGGCTGCAATCACAGCACAGGACCGAGCAGACGCCAAACCTTGAGCTGTCGGGGCAACCCCCGGCTCTTCCCCTCCTCTAGGCTGAGCTCTGAGGCAGCTCAGCGCGCCTGTGGCTGTGCAGAGCATCCCCTCCTCTGCCTGAGCTGCCCAGTCCTCACTGGCCTCCCCGCGCCGCCTGGGGCGGGCCAGAGCATCCCCTCCTCTGCCTGAGCTGCCCAGTCCTCACTGGCCTCAGATCCCCGTTACGCCACGCGGAAGCCCTTTTCCCCCCACCCCCTGACCCCTCCAGTCCTGGGTCCCCGCAGCCCTTGGGAACAGCAGCAGCCACCCAGGCCGGGCTGGGGGGACGGTGTCGGGCAAGGGGGGCTGGCCCACTGCCACTAGCCGCTGCCTTCACCTTGCAGACCGAATCGCCCAGAACGTGGTCAAGTCCCACCTGGAGACGTGCCAGTACACGACGGAGGAGCTCAAGCGGCTGGCATGGACGCTGTACTCCCCGGAGGAGATCCGCGCCTTGCAGAGCAAGGTGAGAGCCACTGGCACCCTCCGTCCCTCTGCAGGGACAAGCAGGGCCCCAGAGCTGCTGCTAGTGCTGAGCCAAGGCTGCTCCATAGGCAGGGATGAAGGCGAGGAGGATGAGGGGTCCTTGGTGCTTTGGGATGCTGCGAAAGCTCAGTGTTCGGGCTGATGGAGGGAGTTTCCTGGGTGGCATGTCACATCCCTGCCAGCCCATTGCCACCACCTATGGGTGGCATAGCACCAGCGAAGATCTCCTAGCCCCTTCTCGGGTGGATGGGGTGGACGAGGGGGAAGGGGTGACAGAGGGGCCAGCGAACCTGGGATGATGGAGGGGGACAGCAAACCTAGAGCAACTGGGGGGACAGTGAGCTTGGGGTGGAAGGGAGGGGACAGCAAGCCCAGGGCAATAGGGGTCCAGCGAGGCTGGGGTGACGTCCCCGCTGTGCTTGCAGAGCTGCGAGGCCATGTGGCAGCAGTGTTCGCTGCAGATCTCCAATGCCATCCAGTACGTGGTGGAGTTCGCCAAGCGCATCGACGGCTTTATGGAGCTCTGCCAGAACGACCAAATCATCCTCCTCAAAGCCGGTAAGAGCCAGGCGCCCACTGTCCCCATTGCCGTCCCCTGTGGGCGTCCCATAGGGGCGGCGAGGGGCTGAGTGTCACTCCTCGTATTGGCTCCTCTGCACAGCCCACACTCTCCTTTCCTGATTTCCTGATTTTTTTTTTTTCCCCCCTTGAGCATGTCTGAGCCCCCCATCCCTGTTGCTTCGGTCCCTTTCCCAGCGGTCACCTTCCCACTGGTTTCTTCTTGGCCTCGGTGACATTGCCAGGGCAGCTGGCTTCAGATGTTCAGGTACCTGGCAGAGGGTAGCACTCACAGGAGGGTTTTAAAGTCATTTTAAAAGGCAGAGGGATAGAGAGGCACATGGAGATGGGCCTTTTCTCCATGCTCATCTTCAATCAAATGTTACCCAGAAACCAGGACCAAAATAGGTTTTGTTAAAATCCCCATGTGGGTGAACGGCATCCCTGTGCGAAGAGACGTTTGCAAATCACCTTGAAAACTGGCATTGTTCCTGGGGTCAGAAGGAGAAAAAAGCCATTTTCAATGTTTGTCCACTTCCCTGAGCCGAAAAAGGAGAAAAACACAGAGAAAAGAAGAAAGATGCTTTGACGTTCCCCACAAGAGGTGCGAGGTTTGGGGCATGGGTGCCCAAGGGCTCCGGGTAGTAACACATCGAGTCCTGCCTCGCTGGCTTCCCCGAGTCTGGAGGGAACTGAAGGTTGTTGCAATTTATCTTTTTAAGCATTGCTTTTTGAGTAGCAGAAAGTGCTTTTGCACCAGGGCAGAAGTTTTCCTGGGAAACCTCTGCCAGATGCGACATTTTTCCCTAAAGCCCTGAGACCTTTGGAAGGAAAATTTTACAGAAACTGGAATTCTTTTCAGTCCCAGTTTTAACAGGAGCGAAGCAGGGGTGCAGGGGCCATGCGGGGGTGTGCCCTGGCCATGTCCCTGCCTGGGTGCCACGTGCCATCCCCGCGTGTCCCCAGATCCCAGCACAGCACCGTATTCCCAGCCCAGGGCTGGCGGTGCCTACTACATTGGAGTTAAACCAGCTTCTTCATTTCTTCCTTCCTTTTATTTTCCTCTCCTTTCCTCCCTCCCTCCCTTTTCCTTTCCTCCCTCCCTCCCTTTTCCTTTCCTCCCTCCCGTCTTGGTGTTCCACTGGGACATCGATCGCCCTCTGTTTCTGGATGCCAAATGCCTGGATAATGTTTCTCCTTGGTGAAATATTGTGGTCACAATTGGAAACCTGAAAAAAAAAACCCTAAACCTCAAATTGGATTTATTTCACCAATAAATCCTCTCCACCTGCTGTCTCTGTGCTATGCCAGGGTGCCTGGAGGTGCTTCTTATCCGCATGATCCGCGCGTTCAACCCCTTGAACAACACTGTGCTCTTCGAGGGCAAGTATGGCGGCGTGCAGATGTTCAAGTCGCTTGGTAAGAGTTGCTTCAGTCCCTCTCCTTCAGGGCTTCCGTCTCCTTTCAACACCCAGGTGGGGAGGGGACAGGCTTTGCAGCCCAGTTTCTGCTGCACTCCAGCATCTCCATGTTTGGGGACACCCCAATTTTCCCATCTAGTCTCTGCCAGTGTGCAGAGCCCTGGGTGCCGTTGGCATCGCCTAGCGGGTGGAGGGGGCGCCTGGCCACGCAGTGCCATGACACGCTCCTCTCCCCCATGCCCCCTGTTAGGCTGCGACGACCTCCCAGCGTGCAGAGCCCTGGGTGCTGCTGGCATTGCCCGGCGGGTGGGGGGAACGCCTGGCCAAGCGGCACCGTGACGTGCCCCTCTGCCCCGTGCCCCCTGTTAGGCTGTGACGACCTCATCAGCGCCATCTTCGAGCTGGGGAGGAACCTGTGCCGGCTCCAGCTGTCGGATGAAGAGCTTGCCCTCTTCACAGCCGCCGTCCTGCTCTCCCCGGGTGAGTGGGGACATGGGGGACATGGGTGGCACACTGCTGCCCTGATGCCTGAAGCCCCTGCGCCGGTTGTGGGTAGGTGTCTGGGGAGAGGCCACCCCTAAATCTCAGCGGGGAGAACTTCCTCAGCAGAAGGTCTAAGTCATTTCTGGGAAAGGAGGGTGAGGAAAATGCATCTAGGTCCTGCCCAAACTCCTCAGCAGGTGCAGGACCTTCAGCCATGGCCTACACGCCATCCATTGGGGAAGTGCCCGAACATCGCTCGGGAAAGGGTTGAGAGCATGGATGGGAGAGAAGCTGGAAAAGTCCAAGGAACCATAAAACCCTGGACTGGAGGCCTCAGTGTCCCAACACCAGGGCTGGGACAGGGGAGAGGACAGGTGGTGCAGAGGAGGTTGATCAGCCAGCCCCAAAAACCTACTAAAGAGTGGGAAGGTCTGTTAAAAGAGCGATGAGCAATGTGCCGTGCTGGATGGAGATCTCCTTCATGGCGCTGACCAGGCTGCGGCCGGTCTCCTCCTAGATCGCCCTTGGCTGACAGAGTCCAAGAAGGTGCAGAAGCTCCAGGACAAGATCTATGTAGCCCTGCAGCATGAGATCCAGAAGAAACACTCCGCCGAGGACAAGCTCTCAAAGGTAACGGTGCTGGGCGCGAGCGTCACAGGGAGCCTGGCCAGGGCAGGAGCAGGGTCTTTGTACGCTCGGCTCAAGCTGGAGATGGGGACGCATCTGAAGTTGAACTGGTGGGCAAGTCATGGAGTGGCTTTCATCTTATCTGTGCATGATGCAGGTGGCTCTACCAGAGCTTGTTCTCCACGCACAGGCACATCTTGGTGATCCTTGGGACCTGCCAGAGGAAGAGAATTTCTCCTTCCAAATGCTGAGCATCTCTGTGGATTATAGGAGGGGTCTAGACCACGCAGGTGGAGATATCCATGGCCAGGCTGCCCAAATCTAGGGAAATGTCCACTGCTGCCTGGGCAATCCTGTCCCCAGAGCTGGAGCTGCCGGTGCTGCGCAAAAACAGATGACAAAAACTAAGCAGCTGTGGCCACTGGAGCCCCACAAATCCGCTCCCATGTCTCCAAAGGATGGGCTGTGCCAGGCAGGGCTGACAAGGAACTGAGGTTTCACTTTTCTCCTCCTTTCCCTGCAGATGGTTTCCAAGCTGCCCTTGATGAAGACGATTTGCAATCTGCACTTGGACAAGATGGAGTTTTTCCGGCTCCTGCATCCGGAGACTGCTATGAACTTCCCTCCTCTCTATAAGGAGGTCTTCAACTCGGAGCTTCAGTACAGCGACCCACGGGAGAGCTAAGGCTCAGGGCAGCCAGCTCCCTTCTAGTTTCCAAAGTTTGGAGATGAACTAAACTTCAGAGGTTTGGGGCAGTTTATTTAAATCAAATAATCAAACCCAAGAGAACCTGTGGGGCCAGGGTAGCTCCCAGGCCCCGTTTCCTTGCTGTGGATTGCAATAGCTCTTGAATGTAAAGCACCTTGAAGGAAAAGCAACCTGACTTTGCCATACTAGTGAAATGAATGTGAAATCTCTGCTTGGGAGAGGAGATGCTCCTGTAAGTAGTAAGGTACCGATACCTCCCCGAAGTGCATGAACCCCGGCAGAGCACGCACCCCGCGCTCATGGCACAACGCGCAAGGACCCACGACCAGCCCTCCCCGAGGTCCCGGCTCGCACTGCCCATCTCTGATCTTTATTTTTACACACACACAAGGCAAAAGCATGGGATGAAGAAAGGGCAATGCAGACCTGTCTGGATAGGGCTGAGCCAGACTGGTGGGGGCAGCTTTCTGCTCCCGGCTGCACCCAAGGCAGAAGCTCTGCTTTATTCGTTCTCACTTGGCGCGGCCAGAGATAAGACCCAGTTGCATGCTGGGGAGGGAGATCCAGCACTGAATCTCCTTGTGGAGGAAGATGGTTTGAGGGGAAGGAGTCCCAGCACAGAGGGCAGAAGCTTTGCAGGGTCTCTGTGCCCTCTTGCAAGCTCTTTGCCCAAAGGCAAGTCCAGCTGAGGCTGCTCGGCCAAGCCACCCCCTCCCACTCAGGCTGGCCGACCGCACCGTCTTTCAGAGCAAATTTGGCAGGTTTGCCCACCTCGCGTGTTTTTTTTCAGATCTTGAGGGCTTCTCTCAGAAAGGGGCTTTGCCCTTGTGAGTATGGCCAAATCTCGCCTCCTGGCTGCTGCCTCGAGCTCTGTTGGTGCATTGGCTCGGGGCTCAGGAGGACGCGTGCTGCTCCCTCACATGTTGTCGCAAACAGTGGTTCTTGGGGATCTAGGCTGTTGCACTTAGTTTTTTAGAGACTTTTGAAAATCTTTCCTGTGATTTTAGCAGCCCAGAGTAGCTTTTGTGGCCTTTCCTCCTCCCAGCCTAGAGCCAGCTCTGCCGCCGTGTCCCCTCTTCCCACAGCGGGCCCCGTGAGGAGCGCTGTCTTTGCCTCTTCTGCAGGTTGAGTTGGACCCAGGTTTTTCCCTCGAGGAGCTCTTTGGTACTGGTATTTTGGAGTTTATCCTCTATTTAGCAGTACCTGGGGGCTTTTAAAGGGGATAAACTGCCTTTTGGGGCAGGGGGAAGTGAAAGGTCCTTTTTCCTTGCCCAGGAAGTTACAGTCTGGTCTGGACCCACTGCTCCAAGCTTGGGAGGCTCAAAAGGAGAAGGAGGGATGGTTTTGTCTGGGGAATGATACCAGCTCCTTCCCCTGCTGTGATAGCCCGTGGCTGGCTGGATTTCTCGAGGGATTCACCCACCAGGCTCCACAGATGATTTTTCAGTCCTTGTTCCTGCTCCTCCTGCAATGAATGCCAAAAGCTACAAGGGAAAAAACCTGCTATGAGGCAGCCCCAATTTCTGCTGACAAAGGGCTACATTGCCAAGTTCTTTCCCTGCTTTGCATTGATTTCTCACGCATACAACCACATCCTCCAGCAGCTTCTATCATTGCCGAACGTAAAGCCAAAACAGTCAACTCCATAATTGCACCCCGTAAACTAAAGAGGCAGCTTTATTAGCTATGGCAGTAGATATTCATGCTTGCGCTTAAAAGACCTCCTAGGGGAGAACATGGACCAAACTCATTCAGGGAAGACTCGCCAGGAAGCCAATGTGGAGAAAAGCTGAGGAAAAACTCGGGATTCTGCTGTTTTCCCGTGGCCGCTGTTCTCAAAATGTGGCTACGTGCTTTCTCCTTTTGTCCACCACGCTCAGAACTGCTTATCGGAGCATATCAGAATTTGGCAGCCTCCTTGCTTTCCTTGATGTCGTCATCCCCTGAGCCCCTGTGTCTCCGGAGAAGGCTGCTGACCGTCCCGGTGGCCTGCTGCAGTGTTGAGTGCCAATACGTTGTTCTCCGAAGCAGTGTTAGCAGGGGTGGGGATGTGTCGAGCTTGTTTCCTCCCTTTTTTTCTAAAGCTTTACAGAAGTGAAAAGTCAGTATTGCCTTTTTCGTCTCGAGGGTTGTGCCTTTTTTTGAAAATCATTTCCAACAGCACCGTTCGCTTCCTGGCTCCTCTCCCCCTGGGGGAGACAGGCCTTAGGGAAAAGCACTCGAAAGAGTGAACGCGCTTTGCAGCAGGGTCTCTCATCCTCCATTTCTGTGGGAAGGTGGTGAGCCCTCTCTTGGAGGAAAGAGCTGCAGGTGTTTTGAAATGTTCAGTAAAAAAGCACACACCCTTCTTCACATCCTCGGTATTCGCCAGCCAACATGCACAATGGTATGCGTCACCGTTTTCATTTCATCGGCAAAGACACTAAGAAAGCACCTTAAATCAGGAAAAGACTGAGCCCTCGCCACGAGCTGCGTTTCTTTCCTGCTTACAACACATCTCTGCAATGGGAGAGATTTGGGATTTTGAGCAATAAAAGCCCGTGTGGGAATCAAAGGGCAACTGGAAGTATTAGACACTTGTAACCCACCCTGCTGAATGGCAGGAACCAGCACTTTTAACTTTAAAGGAACCAGCTTGTTGATGAAATGATTTCTTGGGGAGTATAAATGAGTTTTTCACCAGGAGCAGAGTTTGGGCCCTGGTCCCTGGTACTGCCTTCCAAGAACCAAACGAAAGCGAGTCATTTCGGGCGCCCAGTTATCTTTGCAGCCGCCCTGGGGAGGGAGGCGCGCATAGACCAGGATGGGATGGCGTGCTGAAGCCCCATGGCACCCCTACGGGTTTCAGCCTGGGCTTTTGGCATGCCCCCCGCATGCTTGCACCCAGTCTCACAGGGCTGAGGTCCCTTCGGGCACCTGTGGTGAGAGCCACTGCTTTCCGGCCCCAGTGCTGCCGGACGGGACAGACAGCGGCTCAGCATAAGGAGGAATCAAGATTTTAGGGACATGCATCCCAGACAGACGGGCAAAAATGTCCAAGCCTAAAGCCAGCGGGAGTTTCCCATGCCTCCATTCCCACCTGGCTGCAGCGCAGTGCCTGGGACTGAAGCAGGGAGATCTCCTTTCTCCTCTCTACCTGAGCAGCACGCGGCCAGCAGAGCTGAGAAATCGGAGCCCCGAGACCACCAACTCGTTTAGATGCTCAGTCCTCAACGTCTCCGAGAAATGTTCCCCCCCCCCCAGCCACTAGATGTTTTGGCGCTTTATTTTAAAAGGTAACAAAGTAAAGGTTCCCTTTAGAGGGATGACCTCAGCAGCGAGGGATTGCTCTTTTCCAGATGAAGATTAATTTTGTGTTTGTTTGTTTGCTATGGCAGTTTAGCTGAGTGTGCATTTCCACCTCCAGAACCCTCACACTGTGTATAAAAAATGGATAAAATATATATAATATATATATTCTTGTGAATGTTGGTGCAAAAGAGAAAATATATAAAGTTTCAGTTGGTTTTATGTTATTTTTTATCTATATGAATGAAAGGAAGAAATGGAGAACATTTTTTCCATCTGACACCCCCCCACACACACCTACCTGTAGATACTGACAGGTTTTATGGAAATGTTTTACTTTTTAGACTTAGGAACATGCTTCTGTTCTCATTGAATGTTCTGTCTTGTAAGATTGTAATTTCTATTTTTTTAAAGAAAAGAAAATAACTAAATAATAAAACTTCCTCTTTCAGACCAGTCAGCTAGGAAGGGAGGGCAGGGGAGGGAGAAATGTTTACTTAAGGACAAAAGCTTTGTCTGAATTTTTCATGACATGAAATAAAAAAGTAATATAATGTATGGAAGAATAACTTTTTATTGAGGCGTATTCTATAGGTATATAGATGTATATTGCACAAAATTTACAGGAAGAAAAATAAAGTCTGTTTTGCAAGGTAAAAAATAACACTGTTGGAAATAGTGACTGTGATTCTGCATTTTAGCAAATGGTGAGGCTGGAAGCAAACCCCCTCAAAGGTAGTGAAAGGCTTTGAATTTGCTTGAGCTGGCTCCAGACCAAGCCATAATAGGAGCTATGATCCAGCACAGTATTTACACACAAGGCTAAATTTTAGCGATTTTAAGGTATTATTAAGTTCATTTTAATTTAGCACACACTTACAGACCTTGTTGAGCCGGGGCCAAGCCAGGATTTGTCCCTCGTGGACGTGCGTTGGGGCTTCAGCCCTCCGAGGGACACGGCGCGCTGCTGCTGTACATCCTCCACCCCAGGACACCTGGGATCTGGGAAAGGGCTTTGTTTGGGGAAACTGCCGCTGAAACACCACCACCTCTCCATCAGGATGCAGTTGGCTCAGAGGTACCTGTGGGTACTCAATGTGTAAATCTTATTCCCGTTTCCCCTGAAAAGCCCACCTGGATGTGAGCTTCCCCCCACTCCCTGCACAAACCCAAAGCAGTCGTCCCCGGGCAGCAGAAGCTGTGCAAAATGGAGCCGGGAGCATAGCTTGTCGGGGCTATGGAGTAAAGCAAAATAAAGAAAATGCATCCTGGTATCAGCAGGGTGAGCAAATCCCAGGGTCCCTCCTCATCGGCTCCCCAGACGTTGCCACTCCGCAGCTCGTGTGTCTTTGTTCCCATAAATTACATGTTGCACAATAAAACCTGGCTGCTACTCAGAGCCAGGAACACCAGAAATAGGGCACAGCTCACAGAGACTGTGGGGAAGTTTTCACACAAAGGGAGGAACGGGGGCGGCGGGGACTGCAGGGACCCGCTCTGTCCGGTGCGGGAGCGCCCAGAGACCAGCTGGAGCTCTGGGAGCCACCTATGGCCCAGCCAGGCTGCTGCACGTCTATTTGGGTTTCATTTAAAACAAAAGCCTTTTTCCAGGTGAATCAAGGTTTCTTTACTTTTTGGAAAAACATAAATAAAAACTCAGGGAAAGTGGTTTAAATTTTCTTTGCAAAGAGCTATTCTTTCAATAAAGCACTTTTATGGAAAACCGCCTTGCAGTTCCAGGGAAGGTGCTGGGAACTGCCGAGCCGAGCGTTCAACATCCAGCGCTCACAGGAGCCAGCCAAGGACAGACTCGAGGGACACCCTCGCTGCCCCCCCCGCC